AAACCTTTTGGAGGATGGGAAAGGAAAAGAAAAAGAAAAAGAAAATTCCCCTTATTATTGGTGGGACCATCTTTACATTTGAAATTAAGAATTTTATAAAGACAAACACTACAAGAAGAAGCATATATTTCCCCTTTGGATGACATAGATTGCACTACACATGGAAAAAGAGCTACGAAGGGTGGTTGCATCATTTTATGAAGCCTTGGAGGCAGCCTCTAAGGCCATACACTAAGTTCACTCTGGGACAGAACTGTTCAATAATTTAAGGCAATCGGAGAATACTGGTCCAAATGTTTTTATAACTTTGCAAAGATTCAGTGTACAAATGTTTTGGGGCTTGTGAACATGGTGAGATGAATAAGGAATTCTTGATGAAGTGATGTAACCAAAGGGCAGAAAAAGAACACCCATATATTTTATATTCATTGTTCCTCAACTCTCAACAACAAAAGAAAAGAGAATTGACCATTAAAGCTCGACGAGGTTAAAAAAAAAGTGTTGATTGTGAAAGGACTTCACATCATGATACAGAGAAGCCCGTGTGAATGTACTGTAAGAAACCAAAGATCAAAAAGTGAGGAGAGGACCACAACTTTGTATCCTCAAAGTACAGTGACTAAGGGATGTTCTAAACAGGGGAAATAATTGTGCTACAAGCTAATAAACTTGTTTAATACTTCCCAAAAGCCAAAAAAAGGGAAAGAAACCTGTRAGATGGGAGAGATGGGGTACATAAAACAATGTATTTTGAGATACTTGAAAACAAAGTATTTGAGGTTATAATAAAGTCGGTGTCTGCAGACTACAATCATTATGACAGATGTGTGTTGGAGCCTTACATTTTGCCCACAATTTAATTCCAATTTCATTTTCAACACAGTGAATTTTGTTTCCATTCCTAACTCTGTAATCAGAGAGCGACCATGTCCAAAAGTTTTCCAACTACCCACTGCTGCTATTACCCCACCACCAACCARCCATAACTCACTCTAAACCTCTTCTTTGTTTTCAAGAAACAGCAACTTGACTTCAAGCCAAATACACCATTAGGTAGAGAAGAATAATAGGAGACAAAACAGACTTAAGGAAAGGGAAAAAAAGCCCTGGGTACTTCCTTGTAAGAGTCACATCTGTCTACATTAAGGGAGTTTTTTAACATCAAATTGGTGAACCCAGAGAATGGAAGAAACAGTCGACCAAATTAAATTATTGGTCGGATCGGAATAACAGCGACTCGTTTTCAGATGTCGCAATTTAAGCACCKAATTCCGAAATGCCTTCTCATCCCTATTGATTGCTATTGCTTCCCCCCCAAAACAAACTTCGATCCACCGACATAGCCATCAAGTACAATCGTGTAATAAACAGTGATAAAAGCGAAAGTAGCAAGATCAAAGAAGGTGAAATGCGGCACATCAGAGGTCAATTATGGATCGATAAAGTTCTTTTTTATAGCCTTCTGGATAATTATGAAGAGAAAAAAGAAATGCTGAGCATTCTTCATCACTCAATTCCTCCACTTCCGAAAAGAAAAAAAGGAATGTCAAAGCTTTTACWAGAATGTTTGGAGCATCTGGCGTACCTGGCAGCAGATTTCCAGAGCCAGAGAGAGGAAATATCAGTGGAATCTCGCGATTTTTCGCGGGGAATTTCGATTTTCTACACCACGATTACGACTACGAACGATGCTCGAGTTTCCTCAACTATGAATACAAAATGGAATCTGGCGGAKGAGAAAAAAGCCCTAATTTGTGTGTTTGGCCCAATAAAACCAAGCCCATTTGTCATCATCACCTCCCTTTGCAATTAATTAATTAATTAATAATTTGCACTTTCTTTTTTTAATACTCTTTAAAAACAATGGTCAAAGTCAAATTGGAATTCACTAAAAATAACAAAAAAAATTTCAAAGAGCGTTGGGATGACTTTTGGAAGTTGTGCAAATATTTATATTAATTTAAAAACATGGTTAAGTGTTTTAAAGTGTTTTTYAGGACTTTCAAAATTATTTTTGYTACATTTTTTTTTCTCATTATTTAAAAATTCATGTCAAGCTCGCCTTTAGAGAAGATAATTGTATTTTTTCCGACAAATTTGTTGAACGACGAAGAAACGTTGTAGATGAGATTAGTTTGTTCCATTTTAACGGATATGATAATTTCTAATATTTTTACCTACCTTACTATCTGTTAGGTAAGTAAAACYTTTCATTTTCTAATTTTTTAAAAGTGTTTAATAAGATAGAAAATGAAGTTTTGACGGGGACCTAACTAGCTACTATTTTATATTTGCTTTTATCTAAGGCATTCTGGCTCGATTATTTATGATTAATGAGAAAAAGAAAAAACCTTTTGGAGGATGGGAAAGGAAAAGAAAAAAGAGGAGGAAACAATGAGGATGCATCTTTYAAAGTAATGGAAAAGAAAGAAGAATTGGAAGTGGAGAAATCCAAAGGCGGCAATTTGCAAGAACACATGGATTCACTCAAATAATTATGTCCATTGGAATCAGCATCTCTTGGAGTTAAAAAAGGTTGTGGGGTATCTTTTAAAAGTACTTACTTTCTCGAGGAACATGGTGTATCTGGTAACGTTTTTCTTTCTTATTTTCTAACAGTTAGGTGGTTGTTTTGTGAGATTAATAAAAAAAAAAGTACACGTAAACTGATCTAGACACTCATATGTGTGTGTGTGTGTATATATATATATAAAGTAGAACTGTGTTTAATAATTTTTTCTTGTTTCTTATTCTTTACTTTTTTTTTTATTCAGCAAAGAAACAGAAGTATGTTTGATATTTATTTTTTTATTTCTAGTTCTCTAAAATTTCAAATTAAAAAAGGTAAATTTTGATACGAAAATTAATTTTTAAAATTAAATATTAAAAAATATATACTTCTATTTATTCTTAATATGTATTATGCCTTTTTTAGTGAAGAGTTATAAAATAATGCTTTTATTTATGTTTCTAAAAAATTTAAAATGAGAAACAACGTAAATGTTACTAAACAGTCTAAAATATCCTAATCCCACTATTTTTTTTTCTCTGAGTACTCACGATCTTCCGGTTGGTGTCTCATGCTCAGGTTGGCATCTTAATACCACTCTTGAAATACATAAAAATTTAGGTAAAATCGAGAATAATATTTTACATTTATTTGATCTAGTGCTACTTATTCAAATTAATTATATGATTTTAATATTAAAAAAAAAGAATTATATGGTTTTAAAATTAAACTAACATTCAATAGGTTATTCTCTCTCTGTTTTTTCTTTGTAGATTATAATTTAAAGTAAGTAGTTATAAAAATTTCTGTTCAAAAGTAAATAAATAGTTATAATTACTATTGAACATAATGGGAACCCTTTTTTTCCTTTCTCTTGGACACAATCATAATGGGGACCATTGTGGAAAGGAAAAAAGAAAAAAAGAAAAAACTTTAATTAATCATTGCAATGCATGGGCGATAGATTTTTTGAAAATTATTATTTAAAAATAAAGTATCCAGAAATTATGGAAGTGAGGGTGAGAATAATTCCTCTCCATAGCACTTGGACATATTCATGTACGCATCGTACGGTGTACAAAAGCCCAACAAGCAAATGAATACTGTCCAATCGTTGGATTTCAAATACGCCAAATCCTTAATATATCTTGCAACACCAAACCTTCATGGTCCCATAATTTTATTATTATTGTTTGGGTTTAAATATTATTTTTATTCACGTGTTTCAAATTTGGTTTATTTTATTTTCTATAATTTTAAAATATCTATTTTATTAATTATATTTTCAATTTTCATTCATTTTAGTCCATATACTTTCAAGTTTCAAAATATTATTTTGTTTATTTTGTTCATGCACTTGTAAAGAATGACTATTTTAATTACTATTTGTAAAATTGTAATATAATTATATATATAGTAAAAATTCTTTAATATTAATTTACTAAAAAACTTTAATGAGTACAATGTCATACAAACAATTTAATCAAAACAAATAAGATAAAAATAAAAATGAAGAAAAAAGGTGGTAACTTTTCGAAAGTATAAGAACTAAAACAAACAAAAGACTAAAATAAACAAAAAGTTTAAACTATAGAAATTAAAATAGAAAAATACAAATATAAAAAATAGTATTTAAAACTTTTGTTAAACATGACTGACTCAGAAGATATGGGTTTGATATCATATATATGTTGGTAAAATAAATAGGAACTATTATACATAAAAACATTTTGTTTTGTTGAGATGAAATATAATACAGGAAGAATTTATTGCTTAACTTTTGGTTAGAAGTGGTTGTATCAGTTACTATGGGGGTCGGGTCGGGTCGGTTTGTGGGCAAAATTGAAAAACAAAAAATCCAATAGATTCGGTTAAGTGGAGAAGAAAACCGAACCGGATAGAGTCGAGTCGGGTCCTTACACCCCTATCAGTTACATACAGTACACCTGCTAAAATGATGAAATCAGCAACCTGAAACAGTTTGTACAACAAAAGAAGCAAGAAGGTGTCAAATTGAACAATATTAAAGCAGAATGATAACTCAATAGTTCCTTTTGTAGATCCTCTAAATAGTAAACAAAAGTGAAACTCCTAAGCAGATGGAATTAATCACAAGCCTAGCCATCAACTGAACTGGTTGGATAAGTTTTTTTTTTCTTTCATTTCTGTTTTTGGTGGGGGAATTAATCTCTTGGGTAAAAAACAGAAGAATGTAAAAAGATCATTTTACTTTGTACCTTACCATGTAAAAGATTGGTTCCTGTACTTTGAGAAATGAATCCCCTAGAGAAACCATCATGTTGTAGTATACCGATCGAAGAAGAAAAAACTCATGCAGTCCCGCTAACATGAATGTGGTATGGAGGTCCGCAGCAGAAAATTGGTTCATCGGGCGAACTGGTTCTTGCACGAGCTCTGAGGATGTCTGTAGCATCATCGATTATTGCAGCAGCTGACAGCGAGTATTCGCCCGGAATAAGAAAATACAATGAGAAAGAATGTGTAGTCTCTTCGAGCGGAGGCACTTCCATGGCGATCCCACTTAGCACACCTACCAGAAAAGTAACTATTAAACCATGAAGAAAGATGAGACATACAGAAACAAATTTCTACATTGTAAGGCAGAATGGAGCCTGAAGCAGAAGCTTGCCCAAGACATTTTGTTTTCAGGAGATGGGCTTGCATAAATAAAATATAAGAAAATATAGGTTATAACTTTTAGGGTTGTGTTCTAATAGATTCCTCGAATGTTAAAAGATTTATCAGACACTCAGAAGTTCAAGGGAACTATGAGATAGGATTTCATATTGAAAGTGTAGAGACTTATTAAACACTTTTTAAAGTTCAGAATTAGGGACTAAACTTAATTATAATAAGTTAAGTTAAAATCTTACTGCACAATGAATGAAGAAAATAGATGAGTAACAAGTAACTTACCATTCCATAGGACAGTTGATTTGCCACCCTCGACACAATTCTCACCAGCTACATCTCTGCAAGTTATATTAAGACTCATTTTGATAATTTCCTTGGTATTATTACGAACAATAACTTCTAAAGGCGTCATTTTGTGTGCTTCCAGAGAACTCTGGGAAGATGCAGTCTGAAGATTCAGATTCGATTCTCTACTTTCCGAACTATCACTAGTTGTTCTGAAGCCAAAAGTCAAGGGATCTGGCAACAAGACATCCATCACTGATGATTGCAAGGCTGCCAGTATAGCATCCTTGATGTTTAATTCTCCAAAGCTATTCCGCCCCGACTGCCACTTGACCTTTATTCTAGAAATTAGATTCTTGATCGAAGCATTTAGTTCTGCTTTTGTATTCTTTTCTGAGAAGCTTAAATTTCTGGTACTAGCCGTCCCATCTGATGGAACATCTTTTCCAAAGAATGAACCATCAAGAACAGGCAACTTAAAGTGTTCTAAGGGTATTAGCACTCTTGCAGAGAATTCCCTGTCTATTCTTGTTTTATGGTAACTATATTCAGTAACATCTTGGTCACTGGATCTTTTTCCCTCATGGCTTGAATTTTCCACCTGGACAGAGACACTAATTTCAAACATGACATCAGTTGGATTTGACAACTCAAGTTCAAGAAACCGGAGACCCCAACTTCCCCTGAATGGATCAATCTTCACCAATCTGTCAATCTTGCTTTGAGTATCATCAATGGGTTGTTCTGTAGAGTCATTATCGATTTCAGCTAGTTTAGGAAGGTCTTCACCCACATGTGCTGGAATCTCCATTGAAAGCAATCGTGCTTTCACAAAGGACAAACCCTGCAGAACACAAATTTGCAGTGGAATAACTAAGCGTCTACCAGGGGGTATGGCAGAACCATCAGCGAGCACATCTCCAGTATTCGTCATAGGCCCTAGAAAGCAAAATAATGATTGTAAATAGAAATACAGAAAACTTGCATCAAGTTGAAACTATTCCAGAACATGGATAAATAAATAGAGTTAAAATGTTTTGATTAGTTAGTCTCGTACAACAAAAAAGCAGGGCAAAAACCAATTGCTTGGAATGATATTTGTGCGTCATGGTGTAATATAACTCAGTCTGATGATGAACCCAACTAGAGGAATTTACTAGAAAACAAAGGCATAAACCATGGATAATTTAATATTCTGAGCAGTGCGCAACTTAAATGGTCTTACCATTAATTAAGTGCACTAAAGGTCTATGGAAGGCATGAGTGAATGTGCTAGACAAATTACAAGTTGAAAAGTTACATATCCGAGTAACAGAATTTTATGAAACATTACTTGTCATCAATAGAGGAAAGACAGAAATATCAAAAAGTAAATACCTGCATAATGTATCAAGAAAGTAGGGCTACTGCCATCCCTGGAATGCCTTAACATGCTTGCAGATGCACCCTTGCCAGTAACTGTATCAGAATCAACCACCCCAAGCTGCCAAGCTTTTAAGGTCACAGGTATGATCACTTCAGCACCGGGCTTCAAAGGAAGAGCAGATTTTAAAGTTTCAAAAGCAATAGAGATAACGGAATCTTGGTGTTTTCCGGACAGCGATATATGTGCCTGCTCAACTGGGATTGTACCTGCATTAGCCAGATGTATCCATATATCACGAATTTCACCTTCATAGAGAATAACGGCACCATTACCACCAACAACGTGTGAAACTAGCAACGGCAATGGTGATATGACAGATATATTTGGAACTGATACATTTCTCAACTTCATGGACCCACAGCTCCGAAAAGGGTCAGAAAGCACAAGTCCTTGAACCACCCCAGTGAGTAGATTGTCAACATCCTTAAAAAGGTGTTCAGTTATTGCACCAAAGCAATGGACAATGCACCCGGGAATTCTTACCGGCCCAACTGAAGTAGGAATGCCAGATAAAGTAACCACCTTTGATGAATTGGGAGGAAGATTCACGAAAACTGGAAAAGCATCAAAATTTCCTGAATGCACAGAAAGGTATATACTATCAACCCTTAAATCGAAGCCACATGGGTTGGCTAATTCCACGAGGACCTGCACTGGTTCTCCAACAACCCAAATCAGTTCCTGCTTGCTGCTATTTGATGTGTCTCCTTTGCTGAATGGAGTATAAATGAAAGGTCCAGAAGGGGCAGCTCCTGCCCACCAGTCTTCCTTATTCGGATTGCGTTTTACAATGTCCAATTGTGAAGGATGGAGAGGAAAAGAATGCAGCCTAGAAATATCGGATAATCATTAATCCATTCACAATAAACTGAAATTTGTGCATATGAGATTACTATTCAATACAACACGGATGGCTGCTTAGGTAGTATCAACAAAGATCAAGGAAAACTAATATAATTGTAGATTCCTTAAGCACGTGTCAAATAGGCTGGATACCAGTCTTATATTATGCATGTAGGTTGAAGTTTCAATTCCGTAACTGAGTGTGTGAATATTAAAATGGTTAATTTGGAAAGGATAGAACAGATAGGATGGTTATTAAGGTCCTAAGTATAAATATTAAAAATGGTTAATCACCTTATGAAGGGCAAGGCAGGATCAGCACAGCGAACGCCTGATGGTAACCTCTCTGCTGAATTTGAAAGTGCACTTGCCAGGCCATTTTGGCCTGCTGGTGTTATTAAAGGATAATAAGATCTAAGTAGCCGTGCCGCAGCACTCCATGCAGCAAGAGGATCTCCAGCACGGATAGCAGAGAGCAGAATCTCCCTTAATACAACCATTTGCAAAGTACTCCATTGAGATTCAAATAAAGATACTAACGATTGATGGTGTATTTTTCCGGAATCAGAATTACTCAGGCCAACCTTTTTCTTGATGGATAGAAAAGAATAAAATTTCAGTTAGACTAATCTGAAACAAAATAAAGGAAAAAAGAACAACCAGCCTGATTAACCAGACCATGATGAAAACTGAAGTTAGACTTCATAGGGCACTGACTATAACCTGCTAGTATATTTTTAGTATATGATGAGTCTTAAACAAGTGAATCACAATAGGATAAGAGATAGAGAATAGCAAAGTAGTATCCATGGAAAATGAAAAAGGCCAGTTATCGTCATAGCGCTTAAAGTTGGAAATGACAATTGCAGTAAGAGAAAGGATTGGTGGCAACTAGAAACAAACGAATCCATCACCATCAGCCATCACAGCCAAAAAAACAGAGTTTATATCCTCGATGAGTCTAATAATCAGATTGTGTTTGCACTGAATGCATAACATTATTAGAAAAAAAAATATCCATACATAAATTATGAAGCAACCGGGCACTGTTTCTTTTTCTCTTTCTTTTTTCCTTTTAAAATAAGAAAGAAAGTTCCTTTTAAAAATTGAAACTAAGGCAAAAGCCTACAAACGCCAAAGGAGTTACAAACTAGATCTTTATCATCCAAGTCATGTAAATACTCACAGGGGACAAAGAATGGTCAGTAACAGATGATCTACTTTGAACTCGATAAGCTTTTGTTGTCAGGGCCAAGACTTGCAACGCACTAACAGCAGCATGTCTATTTTCCTGTTGCAAGTATAACTGAGCAACCTGCCTTGAAAAGAAAGCAGCTTTCCGCTGGTAACCAAGAGAACCAAATAAACGAGCTATTTCAACATATAATATTAATCTATCACTGGCATCAATCAAAGATTTAGCACCATCTGCAGCACTGGTTAATAACTCTGCAACCTCTTTAGCCAACTCTCTCCTGTGAATCAAAGCCCTCGAAAATTAGATAAAGTTATCTATTGCATAACCAAAAGTAAGAAAGATGATTAATATACGTGTATTTATCACTCAATAACAATTTTTTTGTTTTAATATCCGTGAGTGTTTGGACCAGCTTACGCGCACCTCGACTAATCTCATAGGACAACCGCCTGATCCTACAATATTTGGTACCGGGAAACACATAGAAATTACTAAGTCCTAAGGCCGTCACGGGGTTTGAACCCATTCCCTCTTAACCAATTCTAGCCCCTTTGGACCAATGAGCCACCTATGATGGTTCTCAATAACAAAAAATTGAAAACTAAAAGTATATTAACATGCAAACTAAAAAGAATTACAAAACTTAATTTTATTTGGTGAACACCTAACATTAAAAACAGATATAAAGATGCATCTTCTGGAAGATATTCACAGATACAGAATTCATACAGGCCATTTTTTGACCAATATACTACTTATAGTCAGAGAATATGTTATCTTGTCTCCTACAGATCAGATCAACCACAAGGTAACCTATTGCATATTATATTCAATATCCAAATACTAAACTCATAAAATATACCTGCAAAGAAATCTAGCCAACTTCAAAGTAGCCTCAAGCTCAAAACTTAGGGGTGAAACCCTGGTGAAGAGAAAAAATGAAATAGATAACGTCAAGGGGGCAAATATAAGAGACAACATATTAGAGATGAATTTCATGAACAGCACATGAAAGTACTCATATATGTTAGCTGAGTTGTAAAAAAAGTGCATTTCAAACAAGACCAACAAAAGATTTTCCCAAAGAAATATAATTTCATCAACCTGTCCCACCAAGAACATAATTTTTATCATGACAATCCACAATTAATCACCTAAGATAATTTTTCTTACTTACAAACTGGTTACAATTACATTAATATCTTAAATAATTGAATCGTACAAATAAATTATAAGGATGAACAGACTTTTTAACAACATCCAGACTTTAGTACTTCACTCCTCAAAATGATTGACCATGGTTTTTCTTTTTCTTTTTTTCCTTCTAAAAAGGGACCCAACAACTACCTCTGGGTGTTATCTTGTATAAATGACTTCCTGTAATGCAAAATAACACTGTTGTATCTGTATCTGACTTCTTCCTCCAAAACTGAATCCTTCTGACCCATTCGATCAATCTGAAATCACAAGTATAGAGTGAACAAATTTAACAGAAAAGGGTCAAAACATATACAAACCAAAAAGGTATTGGAGTATCCCATGACTACCAAGAGGTTTTTAAAACTCATATGTTAATTAGGATTATTTTTTCTCGATAAGAATGAGAAAGTAATGGATTCAGTTACATGTATAATTGATAGAAAGTAAAACAAAATTTCTGTTGACTCAATAATAGAGTGCAGTAGATGGGGGTATTAAAGAGATTCCTTGCTCTCCCTCACTTAAATCACCCCATCTACGCTGCCTCTCTTATATGCTATCTCTCACTAATTTCTCGTCCTTACTAACTAATATTCCAACTTAGGTTAGTATTCCAGTGTCGACACTGCCGTAACAAACTTCCTTTATTCTAACCATTTCTCAACTACTACTCTCTTCTACTCCTGCTGCAATTAAAACAAACAGAGAGGTCTATCCATAATCACAACATTTATAGGATGCTCCTAACATCTTTCACCATTGCAGTCAATTGGCTGTACAATTATCATAGTAATGTTTTCATTTCACATCAACAATGAAGTGAATTCATTGAGATATCTCAACTATCAAAAGATCCATAGTACGATAGCATCATGTACAATGCCTTTACATGGAGTTCCTGTCTAAGAATCTCTTAATGCAAATGATGCAAGTCCTTCCAACATGTAATCAGCTAAATTTCAAACTAGTGATCCTAACTGCTACTAAAGTGCCTTCTAAACTCAAAAGAAATATGGACATAGGTAGCACACTACTCTTCCCCCCACTCCTGAAAGATATTTTCTACACCACCTCAAAATTGGAAGTTACAGCATTACTTTGCCTATGGAAAATAGCTATTTGAACTCTATACACAGAACCATAAATCATCTAAAGAACTGCATCAAAATGAAATTTCTACTTACTGTGAATATATTCTTTAAAAATCCATTCTCTGCATGTTGGATGCAGATTATTTTACTAAAGAAAATAATACTGCACCTTTAGGGGGGGAAAAGGAAAGAAATGCTAGTAAGAGGTAAGTACCAGTAATGCGCAGACACTTCCCTCCAGAGCCCCCGCATACCAAAAATAATCACCAGTTAACCTAGCAAGATCTATTGCAGTAGAATAGTGAGCATTGGCATCAACTGGCGAACCCGCCAACAGACAATAGTCACCGATTGTCTTCTGAGCACGACCAAGCCTTCTCTTTTTGGCTTTAATAACCTGCATTTTGATCAGATAAAAATGATTAAGTTGCAGAATTTAGAATATCATTTCGCATGTATGTACACTTTCACTAAAAGTGAAGATAAGAGTCACAACTACGAGATAAACAATAACTTTTAGTCTTTTTACTTTTACAACAACGATTATAATGAGAAAAAGAAATCAATTAATTAGGACACCTAAACATAAACCTCCTCTGAGCTGAGACTTGCTTGAGAATCCAAAGGCGTTTTCAAAATAGTTCCAGCAGACTCTGCTTGAAGGACCCATTTCTCAAATTCCATCAACAAGGAAGCTGCAATATCTTGCATCATTGTGTTCAAGTGAAATTCCTGAGTTTGGCGGTCAGCTGGAGGAAACAACCTCAAATTACCTCCTTTTTTGCTGCCTTCTTCCAGCTGCAACAAATTCCAAAGGAGGACCCAAAAAATCAGATTCACAAAACGTTTTAACCGACTTGACATTCACGAAGATCATAGTTCTACTTTCTTTTTTGGACGAGCATAGTTAAATTAAAGCAAATACAGAGTACAGAGCAACCCCCTGCCTGAGAATCATCTGGGCAAAACGCGAAACAGCGTTCGACGAGCGCTGAAGAGTAACCCTTACAGGCGGCATTGAACTGCTCAATAACCGAATCAAGATCGGGCGAGGAAGGACAGTGGCAGATACCAATAACAGCAAGGATCTTGCGGTTGGATTGGAAGTCTTCCCAAGGGCTGGGCGGATCTCCACCGAGTATGAACTTGAAGCTGAGGCTACCGGAGTCCCAAGGCTGATGAGCAAAGGGGGACTTCTGATGCTCAGTATAGAAGGAACTGATGGCCGAGAGTGGAATCAATTCGTGCCGCAGAAGCATCGACAAGTAGTCCCGGAGTTGCGTCGGCGGAACCGAACCGATCGGCAGCACCGCCACCCTGATCATGGAGCTGGTTTCCATGCTAACGTCGGGCTCCATGTCCGGGATCTGGAAATGGGCAATGCGAGGAGGAGGCGAATTCAATTAGTTGAAAGCCATCACGAACTGGAATTGATGAAGTAAAGAGAATTGAGAGAGTGGAAACTGGAAGGCGATCAACAAGATTTTGGTCTGATCGTTGGTTGAGCTTCGAGGACAGTGGAGACCGCTGTTTGGTTTCGGCGATATGCTGCTCCGTCCAAGGACCCGTAATTATCCTGTCCAAGTAATTATATATATTTTTTATATGTAAGTTAAACAGAGGTGGAGGTTTAAATTAATGTAATAAGTTAGTTGTGGGATCTTTAAACAAACAAATTTCGATTCATGTTAAAATATTAAAAAAATTAAGAAAATTAACATAAATAACTAAAATAGTTTTAATCTAAAAAATAAAAAATAACTATTAGGACAATTGTAAATATGGCAAAAAAAAAATTAATTAGTAAAATAAGCAAAATAGCATCCTCATCTAGTTTTTTCAAATATAGTATTTTTTTCAATAAAAACAGATGTCCAATTTAAACATTACAAGTTTACTCATATACATCTGCAATATATCTGCAATATATATGACTACTCATATATACCTCTGATATATTAATGTAACACTGATATATATTTGATATATACTTAATATGTTCTAATTTACCAATAATATACCTATGATATAACAATGATATCTACTAATATAATTATGATACATGTGTGTTGATATAATACTATTATATCAATTATTTTTCATGGTGAAAAAAAAATTGAAATATAAAGTTACTGTATAAAAGGTTTATGTGGATCATGTATATCAAAAAAAAAAAGGTTAAAAATTTGATCATATACTTTATAAATTTAAACGATTGATATCTCTTATATTTAGTATCTAATTAATTAATATAGAATAAATGGTAGTAATATAGGAATTAACGTTTTTAATAATATTAACATTTTTAATAATATTGGTATATCAATCAATAAATTGCAATGGTAAACTATAATTTACAACATCTCATATACTACTGAAAATTAAACATCTGATATATCTTATATTTAGTATATCAGTTCCAAATATATTTAGTATATCATAAATTAGAGTAATTATATATATTAGATGTATAATACGTATATATGATAATGTAAATCATGGGTACATCAGATCAGATGTATATCTGAAATATATCAGAAGTACATCATATGTATATCAGACATAGATTGAATGTATATTAGATACAGATATACATTAGATACATATTAGATATAGATATACATTGGATGCATATAAGATATCATAAGGATAAAATCGAAATAATACTTATAAAAAAAATTCAAATATTTTGCTATTTTTGAAATTTTGAAAAGTTGGAGACATTTTTTAAACTACATAAATTATTTTTGCTATCCACAACAATTACCGAAGCTATTATTTTATTATTTGTCTCCTTAAGAAAAATAAGATATTTATAAGAAAAATAAGACATTTAAAAACAAAAAAAATTAAAAAGAAGATTTTATTTAACTACCAGAAAATAAAAAATGGAATAATTGGGTTTAAAAGTAGAAGGGAATTTGTAAATCCGGAGCGTGCATATAGATATTCGGATCGGGTAGATCCGCTCGGAGTGGATACATATTGGGAAACTCGAACACTTCGCCGTCGCGCCGGAGAAGCGACACGGCCGGCAGAACTCGGAACCGCCGGTGGGCAAGAGACGATAACCAATTCCGGTACCAGAAGTTCTATATTGTGATCTCAAGGTTGCGGCGGTGGAGAGCCATTTCAATGGAGCAGGCAGATGATCACTGTTTATCTAAGCTTCAACTCACACAGCCTTCCAATGCTCGTCCTTCAGTGCTCCGTCTCCGTGAAATACTTGCGGCTTGCTCCAAGGTAAGACCTATAAGCTTCGCCCTACTTCAACATCTCCCTGCTCAAACTTCAATGTTCTTCTCTCTGTTGATTTGCTACTTCTTTTAGCTAAGTGACGACGAGGGCCTTATTTTTCCGGTTAGGTATTGAGAGTGGTTACTTACAGGAACTGTCGTTTTGAAGATTCCATGTGATGAACCTGAAAGAAAATTGAACTTTCTGTAGCTGGCTCACTTGGCTGAAAATTCTTTTGTTTAAAGTGGTGATCATTTTCACAAATAAGAACGGAGTAAATGTTTTCGAATGGCGTTGTTTTCTTGGGGAAAGATTATATAGAATCTGTCTGTTAGTAACTTAACAATGGTCGGATTATAATAACCTGTTTTTTTATTTTCAAGTCGATTGAGAATGGAGACACCCATCAATCTGAAGCCTTGGAATCTGAGCTGGTGAATTGCCTTGATTCTATTTCAGAGGCTGCTGAAACAGAATTGGATAATGGAGATATAGAGAGCGAGGCCGTTGAAGTCCTCAATGAGATCTATCAATTTATATCTTCTCCTTCATTAGATCAGGTCCTTTTCTAGGTCATTTTGATATCTATGACATTTTATATTGTAGGTTTGCCCAGCTGACACTTCTGCCAAAAAATGTTGCAGGGAACTCTTGACACTCTTTCATTTGATCTTCCAAAGGCAGTTTCCAAGTTTGTAAGAGTAGGCAGATGTTTGGACATTGTCGATAATATTATTGATAGGTTCGTTACTACTTGCAGTCCACGGGATATGCTGTCGATTCTTTGTGAGGTATGTTCCTAGTAAGTCCTCCATATATCTTTAATATGCTTCTTTTGAGGAAATAAGTTCATTTGAAACTCAGTTTTCCTTAACATGGTGGTTTATTTGCATATACTAGTTCTTCATTAACAATTATTGCAACTACTTCAGGCATTAGATTTCCAGATGACCAAGGCAACCAATTACATTGCCCCTTTTCTGAGTGGGCTCTCAAGAGGTAATGACTAAATAATGAGGATCTTTGTGGGCAGGGTGGTTGGATTCCTAGGTTTGATGTATTACTGAAAATAAAAGTTATCCTCCACCCTAGCACACTATTTTTAGTTTTTTAGCGAGGCATCATTTCTCCATGGGGTTTGCTTATAAGTTATAGCTGAAGATTTCTGCACTATAAATTTACATGCGTGATGTACTGTTAAATAAATCCTTGCATAGTATAATTATCTCTAGGCCCATAAAAAATTTTGGTTGTTGGTTATTTTCTTTTTTGGTTCCCAGTGATTCGTTCCATTCAGAAGCGTCATTTTGAGCAAATAAAAGTAGTAGTTCCTGTTGTCCTCAATGCACTTAAAGCCGTGGATTTTGAAACAAATGATGGGGACGTGAAATGTGACACTTTGCATGGCCAAGCGATGGACATTGCCAGTTCCATACAGTCAGTTTGTGCAAAGTTGGTATGTGCTGTTTTGATGTGATATAGTTCTTTCTTTCTTTCAAGGATTTGCCTGGTGTTTTTTTTTTAAATTTTATCGACCATTATTGAGGATCTTCTAATTTATGAAACAGGATGGTAAAGTAAATGAAAAGCTCCGATCTCTGCTTGGTCTTTATGTGTTGCAAATCATGGTATTTTATCCGTTCAACTTTGTTGATGAAGTCGTGCTTTCTTACCATATTGTTTGTAAATCTCTCAAATGCATAATTGTAATGCAGGCTCTCTTTTCAGTCAGCATGAGTTATAAAGTTTCTAGCTGTATTCCTTTTGTCTCAAAATTGTCACGCTTTTTACCGTTCTGTGGGTTGTCGTATGCTGGTCTAATCACTGGATCTGATATTGACGCAATTTCTGACAACATTATTAGAGGTAGTCCCTTTTGCTTTTTTTCAAAGGAAAATTTGTATTATTATTATTTTGTTTTCCGTTCATCATTCCTTGTTCATTCATTATATTTCAGAGGATGAAGATGATTATATTGCTTGTTTTTCCTACATCAAGCCCGGTGCATGTCTTTCAGGTTTGTGTTCATTAGCTTCAAAGAGGTCGTTGCACGCTTAATTGATAGGTTGTAAATCATTGCCTTATTTTTTGTTTCCCCATCCTCTTTATGTTGCTCTCTTCGTGCAGTTATTTGGGGAGATATTTCTGAAGAGGTTGCACAGGCTGCAGAAGAAAAGATGAGTGTTCTTAAAGATGAACTGGCAACCAAACAAACTGAAAGATGGCAAGCTATAGGCATGTTCAGGCACATACTGTCTTTTGCTGGTCTGTCTTGGAAATTAAAGAAACATGCTATTGACTTCTTGCTTTGCATTAATGGCTCTGAAAGCTTAGATGGCGAACAAAGTGACTATATATCATATATGCCTAGTTTATTTGCTGCTCTGCAGGTAGTAGCTTGTATTCTTCAGATCCCATGTCGAGTGCCTAACCTTTTTATTTTTAATTCCTATGGATGGAGTTGGATTCTTAGGATTGTCTAAACTCTTCTGTGTTTGTCAAGTTACATTTCAGGCTGTTCAGATGATTATAATTTATGCACAAGATACAACTCCAAGGAAGAATGCGTTTAGTTTATTAAAAAAGGTGAGTTTCTTGTAACTTCCAATAATGAATTTCAAAAATCATGACAATATCCTGCCGTCTATCACTCTCTCAATGTTTTTTTCTTTACTCGGTGCGATTTTCTAACTACCAAGACCAGTTACTTGCTGATATTCCTTATTCCGAAAGGTTCGACATGTTAAGAGCTCTGATTGTGAATAGTGACTCTCCCTCCATGGTAAACCTGATCAAGCCCTCCCCCTTTTTAGTTATAAATGTTAATGCTCGTCCAGGTTCTTGCAAGTTTATCATCTCTGACCTTTTGGTATTTGAATAGATTGCCCTTCTTTTAGATCTTGTCAAAGGAGAAATGTATGCGGAGATTTGCCGAAAAAAAGTTGGAACTGACGTTCAGCAAATCGATGCAGAAGCACATCCAAAACCATCATTCTGGACTGCAAGTATCTTAGAATTGGTGGAGCTGGTTTTGAGACCTCCAAAAGGGGGCCCTCCAGTGCTTCCAGAGCAGAGTGATGCGGTATTAAACTACTCTATAACAAAACTTACCTTCTATTTCATATTATTTTGGCTTTACATGCTCTTTTTCACTTGCCCAAACATGATTTATTATCATTTTTACAATTCTCTCTCTTTCGTTGTTCTTCCCATGTTCAAATACATTCATTTCAGAAGTCCCTATCACTGATGCAACAGTTAAATCTCAGTTTTAATGGACAATGTTTTGCATGCTGAATGATTACATATAATCTTATCTTATGTTTCATATGCAAGGAATGTGTAGAAAAGGGTATCAAGTCATTGAGTTCAGGACTAGAAATTAGGAACGAATAGTTTGTTTTCCTTCATCTTAGTTCTATGTTATCGGGTTAAGAACTTTTCGTGTTTTACAGGTTCTTTCAGCCCTCAATCTATACAGATATGTGCTGATAACAGAGGCGACAGGTAACGCTGCTGAATGTTAAATATGAGTGCCTTTTTGTAAATCACATTTATCAAAGTTGCTACTTGAGGGAATAGAAAGAGCTGCCAAACTGAAACTGCTTGAACATATTGATTCTTAATGTGAATTTTCAACAAAATCCATGGAACAGGAAACACAAACTATACTGGGGTGTTATCAAAGAGCAATTTGCAGAAGTCCTATAACGAATGGCTTCTACCTCTCCGAACGCTTGTGACAGGCATAGTGTCGGAGAACAAGACAGATTACGATCAACTCGCAGTGGACATGGAGTGTGCCTTGAACCCAGTAGAGCTCGTTTTATATCGCTGCATCGAGCTTGTTGAAGAGAAGATGAGAGGAATCTTTACAACTGCTCGAGACATGGTAGGCAAAAGTCTTAATTCTACATAAAATACTTCACAATGAAAACGCCAAAAGTCTTCATGTCTACCTAAGATTCTTCCATATTTTGAGTCAAAGTGAAAACAGGTGGTAGTCTCTTGGAAAGTCCATTTCCCAGTTTTGAAATGTTGTACATTTTTTCAACCTTCCCCCCACTTTCTTGACCTGGTTTTACGCCAGAAACTAAGTCTGAGGATGCTTTGCTGTGAAGAATATATTGGGTTTAGTGATAATTTTATATGATATCCAAACAATAAAGATTCTAAATTCAAATCATTGTAATATATAATCTCGAATCATACAATTCTCTTATTTTCATTTATTGCTTGTTGGGGTCCGTATTTAATATAACATCTACACTTAACACGTTCTCCTTTTTTAGGAGATCCAAAATTCTAGATTTGATTCTTCACTTATTAGTTAAATCGTGCTGATCCCTTACACATGTCAATATTGTGAACAAGAATATATTAGCAAAATGTATTACTGGTTCCTACTCTTTTGAATCCTATATCCTAATTTGTTGTACTAAAAAAAAGGACGTATTAGCAAAATGGAGACACTAGAGTGAAGAATGTTGCCCAAAAACAAATTTATATCAAAGTAGTGACCAACAAATTTAGTAGCTATGTATGTACCTACAAACGCTACAACGAATGAATCAAACCTACACCAATGGTTTAACCCACAGGATTACAGCCTCCAAAAAAAATTAGAACATAGGAAAGAATTAATAATATGCCAAAATATAACAACAGTCTGATTGGGCTACTTCTTCTACAAGATGGCAAACTTTTTTGCCATCTCAAAATCGTATAGTCATAGGGCTGATGACCTTACCCGTGACTGCCAGCTTTTAATCCATATATAATCCTTCAACCATGTCAATATTAGAGAGAAAGAGAATCAATATATTTCCTCAGCTTACTCAATCCTCGGAGGGAATCATATTTAAATCAGGTAAAATGAAGACGCATTCATCTTCTGAAGATTTGCTCTTCTGTGATTGAGCCTCGAAAGAACCTGAACCAGTGAAGGGCAATGTTGGAGGAATCGTGTCATGGTTGGAGCTTTCCCTTTGATGGGTTAGTGTGGATGAAGTTTCTTCTGCCATATTGGAGTTCGTACTGAATTTCTCTGTGTATTTCAAATTGAAATCCACCTCCACCTGCATAAAAAAGGTAGGATTTTTCCTCAGAAGCCTTGTAAGCGAGCAAGAGATTGTTTAGAGTTTGATAAGTTAGTGTTTTTGGGGTCAAGGCAGTGGAGAATCTATTGTTATGTAACGGCAACATCTCACAAATCCCTCTATCAATCTATTGTTTAGAGTTCAGATGTTCATGAAAAAAGAAAATAGCAAACATGTCGAAAATAAGGCCAGAATTTACCTTCATTTTCTTCAAACTCTCATTCTTGGCTCTTTGTTCTTCGAAGGTCGCCCGTAGACTGGCCAATTCCTGTTCAAATCGAAAGTTAGTTCATCAAAAACAAAGGGTGGAGCAAGTGGAAAATTTTAATACATATAAAAAGTCATGAGAACCATACCTTCTTTAGATGAAGTTTCTCCTTCAGAAGCATGCCCTCCTCTTCCTTAAGCTCAGCAAATGTCTGGAAGAAAAAAACAAGAAGAGAATACATCATCAAATAAAATTAAAATAAGATTCGTTACTGTCTTTGGGTTGTTGAACCATTCATTCTTGCACAACAATGCAACCCAACAACTCATTTAAAGTCAGCAACAAATAAATGCTTGGCTTATACGGCCACACCCCAACAAATCCAGAATTCATTTTCCCTGAACTAAAAAGTAAATTTACCTTCTTTCGTCTTAACCTCTTTGTAGCAGTAGCAGTAGCAGCCGCGGATTCATTTGCAGCCCCACCCTGAAAAAATCAATCCCAAGACATATTAACAAGAATCAATATTGCAATTTGCAAACCAATCAAAAAAAGAGAGAATCAACTCCACAAATATTAATCAATATTACAAACCAATTAACATAAAGTACTCCAAAAGAATTGATATCGCCCAAATTGGCATTACCAGAATCGCACGCCACATCATGAATTCCACGTGGTCGCTTTAAGATTGCGACCACACCATCGCCTGTAAGCTTTCCCACCTCGCGTGACTCGGTCACGTGGATCTTCCTTTTCCACCTTCAACCCATTCTCTAATACCCAACCAACAAACAGGATTCCCTTTTATCTCTTTCCCCCCAACAATTTTCACGATGCGAATTCAAAATCTGTTCGTTAAGCTAAATAATGGGTTTCTTTTTGTTTAATATATATATATATATATATATTCAGGAAGCGGAGCACTGGAGCCTAGCGTGTACCATCGCCACACCCGATAATTACTCCTCCCTAAACAACAAATCTGCATCAAACCTAACGCAGACCTATCCATCTCTAGCGAGCGCCTCACCTCTTACCTGATCCGATTTGGGCCCTCACTTTCCAGTTTCCATCATCATCATCATCATCGGCCGTGGTTCCGGTTCGAGAAAACCGTCTCGGAATTTGTGTGTGTGACCAGAATGCCCTCGTGTTTTGTGATGAATTTTGTACGCGTCCGGTGGCAGTACGGTCAAAAAGAGAGGATAGGGAAGGGACCGTGAGTAGAAGGAAGTTTCGAGGCGATTACGATGGTCCCTCGTCGGCGAAGGGCGAACGAAGAGTTGTATTGAACATCGTGAGGAAACAGCGACACGGCGTACGATTTGAAAGGCTTGGAATCTAGCGAGGGATTTGGAGGGCGTTTTGGTCATTTCGGAGAAATGAGGGCCTCGAGCTGAAAAGAGGCGAGAGGAAAACGCGAAGTATTTTCAACCAGCGTCCATTCGCTGACCTCACGTGAACCTGAACGTGGAAATTTTGGAGAATCTAGGGGTATAACGGGAATTAATCGGATGAACAGCAGTTTCTCGATGGTGATTCATGGCGATTATCCGCCATTGATGGAGAGAACTCAAAAACTGTTTGGTAAAATATAGAGCGGTTTCAGAATCGAGAGATTTGCGGTTGTGAGGTCCGAGAGAGGAAGTTTGTTTCACTAGGCCGGAGAATGGAATGAGGCGGAGGAAATCAGGAGAAATATCACGACAACGGAATCAGATTCTTGGAAAAACAAATGGTAAAACGGTCACGATGCAATATACGAGACTTCTCCGAGACAAATACGCTTCATCCGAGAATCCACATCGCCGCCGGCCGCCTGAACCTCCCAGCCGACACCACCGCGGAGAAAAAACGTAATTAAGAAGGCAGGCGTTAAGATTTAAGAACTCGTAGCAAAAAAACCGGACAAAAATCGCAAAGATCGGGAAGCCAGGGCACAGACAATCGCCAGAAGATGAAACCAAAAAAATGAAAAGAGAAAAAAAATGGAA